AAACTACATGTAGTTTTACTGAGATTCATTGTAAGTAAATTATCATCTATTAGCTGTTTCAAATTCTTCTCTGCTTCATTTTTTACGACCATCCAGTTTTTACCCTCATAGGTGACAGATGTATCGTCAGAGAACGATATTATGGTACTGACATCTTTAATCTTGTTTCTTTGTTTCATATAATCTTTAAAGATATACATGATAACTCCCCTTATGCATATACTTTTCAATGTATTCAGTAAAATTCCATGGCTGAAGGTGTCAAAGGCCTAAGTCAAATCTTCTTCAGCATGCTTTTCTTCATCAACATTCTCATGAAGCCTTGACACAACATCCTGCGTTTAAATATTCTCTCCGAAGCCATAATGTATAGGGAAAATAATTTCGTGTTTATTCTCAAGTAGTTGATCAATCAAATTTTAATAATTTTTTTCAGTAATTTTGCTAGAGATGATGTAAAATATCATCAGCGATTCCGTTTATGGATGAATCACTCGCTTGCGTCATGTTTGATGTGATTTTTCTGGTTATTTTTCATGAATTATCAGCAATAATACTAAATATCGTTTACTAATAAACTAAAAAAATAAACATCCACACATCTATACATACAAGCATACAAATAACAATAACTCTTCCTTCCACTTGGATTCATTCCGTGCAGGAAGTAAATACCAGTGAGAAGAATCCCCTGTCAAAATAGTAATAATAGTAATAATCTTTATTATTCAAGTAATCTCATTATTCAAGCAAAACTTCATTTTGGGATTTTCACTAGACAGTTTACAAAACTGAAACACGTGTTCCGCTATACAGAAGCTTCCTCAAGCGTTTTCATACACGTCTCGCGATTTTGTGAACTGTCTAGTGGAAACCTCACAATAAAGTGTTACTTCCATAATANAAATACGAGAGACGATAATTTCAATCGATCCTTAGTATCCCACAATTTGAAAAAAATGGAAATTGTAATAGAGAATTTGATACTAGTGTAAAAAGGTCAATCTTTTTAATTCGTGAACCTATTGTCACCAGTTACAATGGATATGGGGTCGTGATTCACTTGTTATAACATGTCTTCAGCGACCTTTAAGCGATTCAGTTTCTGCAGAAAATTCAGGACTTTTGGTACTAGACCAGCGGCAATGTGTTTCATACCTAAAAAATCATTCGAAATGATACGAACTGATTCGTGAGACAAAAAAACATTTGTTCAGTATTTCTAAGATGTTCAAGTAAAATTCTCAACTTTTAAGATAAATCAACTATTTGTTCTTCAAGTGATGCAATATTAAAAGCATGAAGACAAATGATTGAGTATTCTATTATTTATTCAATTAATAACTATTGATTATTCAACTCTTCAAACAGTTCCATACATGAGGTAATTGCTCTGTTATCGACAGAACCAGAACGTGTCCACTCCTATTCTGCTTTTTCCAATTCAAACTCTGTTTTACTGGCATTATTTCCGAGAAGATATATTCGACCAGTGCATAGTACGGTCCATTAACTCGATTCAAAAGATAGGGTTGATTGTATCAGTGTCTCTTCCGTAGTTTGTAGTCAATTAATTTAGAAGCCTATAATGAAAGTATGGTGACTGAATGAGATATTTGAGTGTGTTAATCCATAAATATTTCACGAAAAACAATTCTTCGGAAAAAGGGATAACCATCCTGAATATCAGGATATCATTATCCTGAATATCAGGATATTCAGGATAATTTTCATTTTAATTTATGTATTGGTCTCTTTAATTTTTGAGTCCATGTTGAGTCCATCATCAGTACAGGAATGAGCCGACCAAAACAGTAGGTAGTTTGCCTGGGACTCTGACTGACTTTGAAAGTTGCATGAATAAAACCGTCTGAGAGAATGAAACTCCATAAGCGCGAAAAAAATATTCCATGTACCATGTACCAAAACTCTAACAGAAATCGAAATGTGTCAGATAACTGTATTTTTCCTGCAAACTAACTTAGATAAGACTATACTAACAATTTAAAACATACTGATACATGATTATAAATGTTAAGGTTTAAGACTACTGATGTTCTGCATCATTGAGTCTTTTCCTACAAAATTGTTTTATTATAGTTGTTTAGTTTAGATTTAAATATATAAATACTTTCGCTTTGTTTTATGTCTCTTGGCAGCTTATTAAAATGGTTTAAACCTCAATAAAACAATATTTTCATTGAACTGGTTAATCTGAATCTTGGCAAGTGAAAAAGATAACGTTGTCTTGTCTCGTAGTTGTGAGTACTATCACGATTAGTAATGAATTCATCAAAATAAGAAGGCGACCTCCCAAAGTATCCAGCCTTACATCCATATAGGGGCACCATGGATGTGGACATTCCTTTCCCACATACTCGTGGGTTTTGGACGGATTCAACAAGAACAACAAGAACTACCAGGAGGAGGACTCTTCGAGCGACTCCTCGAAAAATCAGACTATCCTGGAGGCGCAAACTGACCAGAAAAGTCATAGTCAAATGGCGGGAAACACCAGCCTCGCCGAAAGCATAACTGCAGGATTGACGAAAGTCGAACTGCGGAAGAAAAGGTCATCAGGAGCACAAAGGCGCAAACTGATGAAAGCAAGGAAAATAGCGGCGGGAACATGGACTGAAAAACCGCAGAAAAATGGAAACAACCAAAGTGGAAAGGGCCAAAAAGAGACCTAGAGAGGATGTAAAATATCCCCCACAGAAGGTACTGAAAAAACCCAGGGCTTCCGAAGAAACTGGGACCTATAGCGAGGCTGCTAGAGGCCTGAGGGTGGCGATCACCGACATGCGACACCCTGAGTCAGGGTCAAGTAGACCTGATCCAGAAGGGACTTGTCCAATACGACCAATAAGAAGCACACAGAGTACTGGAAAAAAGTACCTGTCAACAAACACAGTAGAACCTTCATTAGGGAACCATCCGAGAAAAGAACTGAAGAACTACTTCAATGTAGTAGGGATCGGCTCATTGTCTGCTTAGAGGACACCTGAATGAAATGGGGCTGTACAACGGAGACCTCAGCTGCAGATTATGCAACGAAGGGATAGAAAAAGCTCTACATATCTTATGCGAATGTGAGGCACTGAATATGACGAACATCCAACACGGAACCTGTACAAACTAGTACAGGGAACGAGACTGATGGAATAGGTGTCATGAGAAGATGGGAGAATAAACGCAATAAGCCCAAGAGGCTGCAGTATTTTCTGGAGACTTGAACTAAATGGACAAGTCAGGCAGCTCCCAAGGTACAAAAAAAAAGTTGTGAAACAATATTTGATTCGCCATTTTATAGCTGCGGCCATCTTGGATTTACAATGATACAGAATTCATTAAATTGTATTGTCATCAAAATCAGATCAATCTGTCAACAGGAGGTAGGTCAAACTTCAAATATTGAATTCGACCCAAACAAATGAATAAACAAACAGGGTAAGCTAAATAAAACCGTTTAAAAACTAACACGATTACCCGAGTTGAAATTATAAAAAAAACTGTCGCTTCATAGAATTAGTAATTAACATTATTAGCATTCACAGTGTCGCTATTTTCCGGGTTTGAAACCCGTGAAATTTTGGAATTTCTTCCTGACGTTTCGCCGGTGCGATTGGCTAGGTTCCTTAGAGGTTTTTACCTCCTGAGTTAATATCTCCGATGACTGGATATAACAGCTGGGTGACGCCTATTTATGTTGACTCTTCAGGTAGTTTGGTGTACTATTACCTGAATTTGGCTTAGGTAAATTACGTAAAGCCTGTTTATGTTGATTAGGTAGTCTGGTATGATAATACCGGACCTGGATTTGGTAAATTGTCAATAACGTTCGTTGACCCTTTTCTAGCTGCCGTCTTGCTGTTTGCTATTCTTCAACTTTTCAACCTTCTTCTTTTCTGTTGAAATTTTCTGTGTGCGATTGTGGATTTCCATTGCCTACCGTGCCAGTCGGCCATGGTACCTCTGAGTGTGCACTGAGTGCGTGTTCTGCCACAGCTGACTTGTCTGTTTGGCTTAGTCTGCAGCTTCTTTCATGCTCCTTCAGCCTTGTTTCCATGGATCTTCTGGCGGTTCCGGGTTAAACATTCCCACAAGTGCACGGTATGCGACAAATCCCTGCTGCTGATAGTAGATCCCTTTTGTCTTTAGCCTATCTGAGGCTTTGTTGAATATTCTTGGTGAGTTTGAAAACCGTTTTGATGTTGTGTTTCTCCAAGGACTGAAGGAGCATGAAAAAACTGCAGACTAGGCCAAATAGACAAGTCAGCTGTTGCAGAACACGCACTTAATGAAGGAAACCATATTCTGTTAGAAAACACGAAACTCATTTCCCCCGACCAGAGATACCATTGCTGACTGGTACGGTGGGAATAGAAATCCACAAACACACGGATGATTTCAACAGAAAAGAAGAAGCTGTGAACCTCAACAGAATATGAAAACCAATTCAAAACAGTTCAAGAATAGCAAACAGCATGACGGTCAACGAACGTTATTGACAATTCACCAAATCCAGGTTCAGGTGTCATCCCACCAGACTACCTGAATCAATATAAATACGCTTCACGTAATTTACCTGCGCCAGATACTGGTAATTTCGTGGCAAACTTGACGAAAACTGAAGAAAGCTCATAATTCCGTTATTTATGGTTTGAGGATAAAATTCATAAGTTTTTATGTTCAGGTAAGTAAGTAAGCAATCGATTGAGATAGAAATATACAAGGTGTTCCTTAACATAAAAGTACATATTTGAAATAAATCGAAAACGCGATTTTGAATTGTTTTTTTGTTAGCACCACGTTAATCAGTGAAAATCTACTAGTTCTCTGATTTAATCGAACTCGTATCTTCAATGATGAAGGAGTTAGCAGTAGTATCGACTTGAGTTCTGATCACACTGTTTAATGGTAACAATATGAAGTCGACAATATTCCATTATCTCGTAAAAATAATCAGATTCGATTACGAATCAAGATTTGATACTCACTCAATAAGTTGCGGCAAAGTATCGTTGTGCTTGGGCACGATATATTCGTCCAGATCGATGAGCAGAACATGCGAATACTTGTACATTGACCTGTACAGACAATCGTTGAGAGCGGCGAAGAGGCCTTCCGTCCTGATTTCTTTCTGTGAGATCATGTTCAGGTCCCACGGCAAGACGGAGACCAGCCCTCGGTCGACGTAGTTCTTCAGGAGGCACTCAACCTGATCACCGATGGTGTGGTTATAAAAGGTGAAGTGTTCGACGCCCATCAGTCGATTGAGTTCGATGAATTCGAGGACTTGCATGGCCTGCAGAAAAGGGATATGTTTGAGGTTCGATACTTATTTATAAGTTACAAAAAGTTCTTTATGTAAAAAATATACAGGATGTCCCAAAAGCGGATGTTCAAACAAAAAATGATAGAACAGATAATTTAAAAATAGAGTGACCTCATCCAATATAGTATCTAATTGATGATGGTTCCAAAGTCATTTCTGTTTTTGCGTTTTTTTATTGAAATGGCGTCATGTAGTATGTACAAAAATTATAGCAAGACTATAATAATTCATTTGTTTTCTATTTGTTGCAAGTGTGATCATAAGTATGGATCGCATGCATAATTGTTGCCTTCAATGGTTAAAATTATATTGATGAATTAATTCAAACAATTTCACTGCAATGCTACCAGCTGTAATAAATTGGGAATTTTCTATAAAAAAATAATTCATTTAATTATGTGGCTGTTTATGTTTGTGTAAATAGAAAATGATCTCTTAACCCACACCCTCGAATCGATAACAGTTGATCAGATTCACAACTTTACAGTTTTGAATCAATAATTTTCAATTTCGAATAATCTTTGAGAATTTACTTTCTTCAAAATATGTTTTCAAATGTCAATCACAATCACTGAACTGATATTTAGGTACTTTCGAAATAGTGGACTATTTCAAAAATGGGGTGAATGTTCAAATTTGGCGGGCTACGAACATTAGATAAGCGATTTTTTAAATTTTTTCTTGGTGGTACAATCGTCTCGAACATATGTTCCCAGTTTTGACTGTTTAGCATGTTCAGTTTGTTGATGAGAGGCATACAAGTTAGAACAACAACAGACATCTAGATGCCTATGAGAGTGTAGAAATAAGTAAACATAATAGTATTATGAATAACGATGGTGGACCAATACCTAATATAGCTTGTTGAAATAATATTTTAATTATTAGATTTACCTGACTATTACATTGGGTCACATTGTAAAATTAATTAGGAGACTAGGACTAGGAGACGCAGTTACCGAGAAAAGGTAGGTATGATAACATTGAAAGTATATTCAGTTCAATCTTACTCTTGAAGATGATCACTTGGTGATCGAAAAACGTGCTGAGGTGTTAAAATGATGGCTTGGTGTTGGGAAAAAACTCCAGTAATATTCATTACTATACCAAAGGTTCCAAACAGCGCATCACAAGTATTTTGTTTTGTTATAAGAAATTGGTTGAGTTACGTTATTTTCAACACTAGTAAGTACTTGAAAAGGAGACATTTTCAGCAGACATTACTTTTTTTTGTGAGAAAAACCCCTTTCGAAAAAACTACTTTCCCATGAACATTAAATTATACGAATGGAAAATGACTTTTCGAAACATCTACTATATACTTTTTTCTGTTATATTACAAATATTCGTTATGGAATTGAAATAGATATCATCCATAGAACGCTACAAAAGGTAAATACGAGAGACGATAATTTCAATCGATCCTTAGTATCCCACAATTTGAAAAAAATGGAAATTGTAATAGAGAATTTGATACTAGTGTAAAAAGGTCAATCTTTTTAATTCGTGAACCTATTGTCACCAGTTACAATGGATATGGGGTCGTGATTCACTTGTTATAACATGTCTTCAGCGACCTTTAAGCGATTCAGTTTCTGCAGAAAATTCAGGACTTTTGGTACTAGACCAGCGGCAATGTGTTTCATATCTAAAAAATCATTCGAAATGATACGAACTGATTCGTGAGACGTAGAAATTTCAGTGGCTATCTCTCTCAGACTTACACGACGATTTTCAGTTATAATTTCCATTACTATGGAGATTTTAGGTTAGTAGTCCACTATATTTCGACCGCTTTTAATAGCATTTTACCGTGTTTTTGATAAAGTCAACTCATTTGTAAGTCTTATGCAAAATTTACAGCACGTCAGCACAGGAAATTTCATTTGCAATACAAAATTTAAAACAAATTCTGTGCATGATATTTTTGTCCATTGTAATAATTGCAAAACAAGGTTCAAGGTTAATTAACAAACTGTGTACTATAAACAAACTGAATGATGGATGGTGCTCAAACTCCACGTGAGTATAGAGGACAATTGTGCCAATCTAGCTACAAAAAAATTCGACAATCCCATTACGCGGACTTTTTGAATAATCGATTCGCGGTTCTTTCTTGATTTTCGACTTTTAAATTTTGTTTGCTTCTACAGTAGGCTAAGAATTTTTCCAAACATCCAAGTACCTACTATGCCTTAAAATTATTTAGAATTTTGTCAATAAATAAAAATAGGTGACGTAATATATTTTGAAAAGAAAACAATAAAACGGTCAATTCTAGTTTTTTTATCTTTACATGAAATCTCTATTACCGTCTACCGTTGAAAAGAATCGAATGGTGAATTTCACCGTCCAGAAAACCATTTTTACACCATACAAAATGAATGTAATCACTCCATACGTTGAATTGTTTTGTATCGATCCAGCGCAAATGAACTGACAGAAAAGAACTATGAATTTCCTGGAATACTGCAATTTTCATGAACATCACAAAGCATATTATATTCACATAGGATACGACTGTACCCTATTCACATCAAATTTAATGAAGCATTGATAACGTCGTATTCACACAGACACAAAGGCATTATGCAACTGAGTTCTTTGTTGTAATGATGAGCGATAATTCGAAAAATTACCTTCGTTTTACGAGCATCGTTTTGAAAAATGAAACGTAATTATTGTCAAATTGAAAATTGCATTTCAGATGAAAAGAACTGCATTTACATTTTTGGCAATTTCATCCTTTATCGATGTTATTCCATTGCGGTGTGTGTTATATCAAGTTTCTCATTAGATCGGACTTTCATTGTCTGATATTATATAAAATGATTTGAAATCCATGAAGGACCTAATAAAAAAAAAAGAATCAAAAAAAGAATAGCTGAAAATAACAATTATTGCTGCATCCAGACTGATTCCTCCGAGAGATGACTATTTAGGGGTCATTCGAGTATTTTCACTTTTTCTCCGCTTTCCTTTTCTGCTTCACCGGTTCAGTGGGAGATGACCGTTTGGTGGGAGTTGGTCGTGTTCCGCTCGATTATAGGTTTTCATATGTTGCGTATCTCTACCAGCTTGGCAGAATACATTGTTAGACAACATGTATGCGGCTACTTCGAATTTCCTCCTGAACCAATGTTTCTCTCTGTGTATGATCTCAGCCTGGGACCACTCCATATAAAGTTTTATTAGAAATTTGAAGTAAAGTATGGAAATTATGGAAATGAAGCTTTATATATCAATGAACTGGGCTTTATCCAGTAGTAGAAATGTCATACATAAATAGTTTTTTAACTGAGACTTCGGAACTTTGACAATTGATCATCTTTTTGAAGCTCTATATCTGTCAAATTACTTGTCATTTATTTGGTCTGTTTTGTGAAATCATCATAGACGAATATAGCATTCAATAACACGTACTGATAGTGAAATCGTTCTATCAAAATGGGTGTTCTGTTCGGGCAGCGTACAGCGCGCTTCGGACATTACACCGCCGCCATAATCGTCCTACCGAGAGGAATATTCGCATTTGAGTCCATTGGTTCAGTAAACGATCGACCAACAGCCGTATATTGACAAAACGCAAGATCTTCCAAAGACATCGCCCCTGTCTGTGAGAGTGTGCAGGGGAATCCGAAGCAGACGATTTCGCGTCGCTCACGGCTTTTCGCAAACCACAAGTTGGCGGTTTTTGCGTCGTGACTTGGGCCTACACCCGTACAAAATTCAACTGACCTAGGAACTGAAGGTAAACGACTATAGACAACGACGTGTCTTCGCTGAATGAACTCTGGGGTAGTTGGAAACTGAACCTAATTTTAATCGAAAAATCATCTTCAGCGATGAGACCCATTTTTGAAAGAATGGTTATGTGAACAAACAAAACTGTCGAATATAGGAATGTAGGCTTTTACAGCTGAGTGCAGATTATTCCCAAGGCACTGTCTATCTGCTATACATAGAAAGTGTTACCAATCGAATCGGAAAAATTCCAAAGAAGGAGAAAATTAACACTGTCTTTAAAGTGATGAAGAAAATATTGGAGTATCTTAGATCAGCAAAAGACAGCAGAGAGCCACTCAAATCAGCGGGAGTTTATAGGACTCGATATAACTGTGGTCTATATTGGTCAGCAAAAGAAGCATTGGTACCCGCCTAGTCGAGCACAAGCGAAGTTGCCGATTGGGACAGACCGAGAAGTCTGCAGTCGCTGAACATGCACTGTCCGTCGGAAAACACAAGTTCCTATTCGAAAATACCGAGAGGTTAGTAACGTCGAGTCATTATTCAACAAGAATGTATTTAGAAGCCATAGAAATACACAAACACCAAGAGAACTTCAGCAGAAAGAAAGAGAGAATATATCTATCAAAGCTGTCATCCAAATCGCGTGTGAAGTATGCGAAAACCCGCCATTTCTGACGCGGCAGAAATGGGAGCTTCAGTTTCAGTTGACACGCCAACAAGAGTACTTGACCACGCCACTGAAGATGACTGCCGCAGTTGCAGTTGAAACGTTTGGATATTGTAACCAAAGAAGACCACGGCAAAACTAGGAAACCAATCAAAACAAAATTGTCGAATTTGGAAAGATACCAATTCACATGAGATCCAAGAGCGTCTAATGCATTCCATTGCATAACCTATACCATCGGTCAACTTCAGTCTGATTTATGCGCCGGGGTCATTGGACGTTTTGGATATGCTTCTCCCAGAGAAGCCATGGCGGACATTTGTACGATGCTATATTCCACACATAAAGACATCAATAGGACTTCCAAACGAATAAAACATTTTAATGAAATCTCACACACACACTTTGTTTTATTCATATTTAAAGATAGAAAGCACTCAATGAAAGACCCTATATATTATTATCCATACTCAAGTTTTACAAGAAAAGTATTTTTAGAAAATATAGGCTTGGATGAGTATATACTGCGAGATTCAGATAATGTCAAAAATAT